TCAACTAAACTCGACCGCAGATGCAGCGTCCAACGAAATTGTCGTCAAACCAAGTAATTGTATCGTCGAACAATGAACGAATCGATCGAAATCAGTAAAGCTATACAAAATAATATATACAATACGATACAACGCTACCTACTGCGTTTTGCGATTATTAATTTCTGTTGCGCATTAGTTTCTCGCTAGACAGAGCAAAGATAAAGAACTGGCTGTGTCTAGTAGACCATGAAATCGGAAATGTGTTACAGTATAGGAAATGTGGTGTAGACCAGTAGGGGGCCGAAGATTGGATGTGGATATGCACTGAATCAAATGTAAGGATTGTAAGGCCTACTTTTTGACAAACGTTGCTAACATAAAAAAAAAATCATAAGTTACGTTACAATGTGATTGTAAAGAAGTCTTATTATGCAAGGTTGAGCTACACAGTGCTTTGAAGTTGCGTTGAAAAATGTATAAAATCACTAGCTGACCCAGCGAACTCCGTACCACCTTAAAAATAGAGGTCAGGGCAGGAATGGGGCAGGTGGTAGAAGAGAAAATTTACGGGTGTATGTATTTTTTATTACCACATTATAAAAAAATAAATATTGTCCAAAATAACATTCCTCCTAACCCATATGAGAACACTACGTTACAATACCCAATAGTTTGAATTTTGGCGCGAAGGCACAAAAGCAGGTTTCAGAACACTACGTTACAGGTGGACAACCATTATCACTTAAGGATATGAAAAATAGATAGCAGCCGATTCTCAGACCCACGGAATATGCATATAAAATTTCATAAAAATCGGTCAAGCCGTTTCGGAGGAGTATGGTAAGTAACATTGTGACACGAGAATTTTATATATAAGTTAAGATAATGTAAAAGAATGATGCAAAGAGTTGGTAGAACTGTGGCAGTTATGACAATTTTTATTTTCATTGTATATTTACTTTCCTTTATTTGTTATCATTAGATAGTTACTGAAGGTTATAAAATTTCCGATGTTAATAACCTTTAAAATTAAGTAGTTTTATTACGAACTACAACCCATTTTAGATTTTATATATATTTTTTTATATAGCCAGGTAGGCAAATGACTCTACCCCACCTGATGTTAAGTAGTGATAAAGTCCAAACGTAAATATAGCTGTTATAGCAGTTATAAACTGACACACCAACCATCCTCATCTTGCCGTACTGCAAAAATGCTTCTTCACGCCTCTCTTAAAGGACCCAGAGTGTAGGCAGGTGAATATTTCACCAAAAGGAAAACTAACATATCAGTAAGCAGTTTCCTTTTTCTAGTTTTTGAGCAAGAAGTACAAGTCTATCCATAGACAGGCAATTCTCGGAATCTAATATTGATGATAGCTGTAACAACTATAACTATTACTGTTTTATTTTCAAACGAATTCCAGTTCCCTTTTAAGTAATGTTAAAAGTACTAGAATCATCAAGTTGTATTCAAGAGAGAGCAATAGATCTTTATTACGGCACCTTGCGGTCACTTATATTCTGTGTTTATATGTTTGTGTGAAAAAGAAAACAATTAACATTAATACGTTTCTTCTATAGTGTATGTGACGAGTTCGCAAATATTTCTAAAAGTTAGCCTTTTAAAGAAAATATTACTATAAAAAAATCCACGCGGACCAGGCAGCAGACGGGGCTTGAAGTTGCCTTTTATGAAACTGCCATTGAAAAGAGTTTTTATAAACCTTTACCGAAAACACAGAATAAGTAGGATCTCTCAAACGGTTAAAACGTCAAGAACGTAACAGCGGGAGTCTCCTTAATTAGGAGTCATGCCACGCTTGCCCTTTCTGTGGGCCAGCCAACTCCCGAACCCTTTCGTAATTGGCGCGATAAGGATGGCCAAGGGAGTGTGGGAACACACGATACGCAATAGCACTTGCAGCCGATGTAAAATCGAGATAAAACCTGTTTCAAATCATCCCTTTTCGAGGATAAAAATATTATATGCATAAGACTATTAAACAAAATGGAGTGTAGTAGAGGATTTTTAGACATTGACAGATTCTGAAATAGAAAAATGCATCCGCCCGAATTTCTCTTTTCCAGTTATTATTCACTTATAACAACTTTTGGCCCTCTCAAACAAACATTTGAAGTTGCTTCGCCAATATCTTAACGAGCAAAACATCACAAAATAATAACATGTTGTGCCCCCGGGGTCCACTTTGCCCCAACGTTTATTTTCCTATAAGATCTCCTCGAGTGGCGTCAAGCAGTCTCCCTCAGTAGGGGTGCCAATTACTACTGCAATAATGTTGTATTTTGATTTTTATTTAGGGGCGGTCGTGGGACAACCCTGAAAGGTACACCGTGCATTAAAAAGTTTTGGCTCCTTTGATTGACGTCTTTAGCATTTTTTTATTATTATGCGGAATTGACTTTTAATTTTTTGTTCTCATTGACTGCCATTGTTGGTGAACTATTAATTCAAATGTATTGTAGATTATTAGTGGGCATTTTTATGGCGTTTTGTCACTAAACTACTGTTCGACTGCGCATTACAAAGGAGCTTAGTATGTTGCCATGAAATCTATTTATTCTCAGGAAGAACGACATTACTTTAATACTCAATAATTTCATACATTAGAAGGATCTTCATTGTTATCAGCTATCAGTGTTGATTCCGCGCCAAAAGTCATTTTTTTAATAATTTTGTTTGTCGTTGTTGTAATCGCCAGTCAGTACAGATCTACATCCATATCGATGTGCCTAGGTTTAACCCTTAAAACTATTGCACCTGCTTGCTTCACATTGCGAAATTACTCGCATAGATTTACAGAAATTAACAACTAATAAAGATTAAGACACAGTTTTTCTTTTTGAGAGCTTAAATGATTATATAAACGCAATTTTTAATACAAAACACATCGCAATATTTCTTAATTATAACTCCATTTACTAAGAAACGGCAAACACTTGTCGAGTAGTTCCGATTAACGTAAACAATCGAATTCCATTTCAATAAGCCCCAAGAGTGGGGTGGGGTCCGAAATCCACCGTGATCTCCAGATAAAATCGCAATCATACAATAAAATTGCCATCGAAATTAGACTCGGCACCCCATAGTAAGTACCTACGGCACCCGATGTCGATTCCCAGCTCGTCACCCCGCTGAGCACACGTCAGCCATTCAACAAAAACAATGCTCTATGGGAATGCAAACTTCTACTATTGTATTGATTAAGTCATTCAAAATTATTCCTTAATTTTGTCCAAAGATTTCTTTGTTCGTACCACTGTGCGGTGCCATGGGCGGTACTATGGGAATTCCGTCAATTTGCTAGCAACGCGTGGCGCTTCGCAAAACTCCTTTTAAGATCGATTCCTTCACTTAATATGTGCGACAATAGCGTCTTAAATAATTCGTTTAGTTCGCACTATAGTAATGGGAGCTTGGTTTAATTGTTATGGGTGCTTGGTTCGGCGCCACAGTCCATTCATTGCGCGGTAAGAACCGACCGGACGACTTTCTGGAAGGCAAGGTATTCAGATTGTCTCCAATTACCGAGTTAAATGGATTATTTCTGTCAGTTCAGTTTTAATACAATTTAGTGAAATCTAATATGTGGGTAAGTATTTCATTGTAATAGCATTCCTTTTCTGGGTGATTTGACGTTTTCACCTCTTAGCAAGAGCAAAATATACACTAGAATTTATATGTAATTTTTTTTAATAAATTAATTTAAACTATAAAAAATGTAATACATAGAATTTAACAAATATTTTTTTATTTTATATTAAATATTTATTATTTCCTTACGTAAGCACGTAACTTACAGAACGTTTATATTTAGAGTAAGATACGTTAGTTATGATTTTGCATTGTTCAATTATTTGTTTAAAAGTATGAACTAAGTTTAAATATACTTATTATTAGAAACGAAAACTGTACGACAGTAAAAATTATAATTTGATTTCAGGAAATTATACCTGCGTACCAACTGACCTTGTAAGTTGGTAAGTATCTAAGAAACTTTGCGTTCTAAAATCGGCAAAGGCTCCGTTGTTTGATACATAGTTTTTGACTACAAGTCAATGTTTCATCAACTACATAGTAAAATGTACACAATGTATCATTTTACTTTTTCTATAGCATTTAATTTATAGTCACATTAAACTATTTATCAAACAATGCGTGCGGCCTTATTTTTCAAGTAACAAGATTTATGCAGCATCTAACAACCAAATATTCTAGAGTCGCCTCCTTTGGAGAAAACGGGTTATATCGTAACAACACGCTCTGACTAAGTTGTGTCTAAAATAATAACATCTTTCAATATTCAGTAGGGTGTCTTTGAGATGCAGAATATTAACGGAATCAGATAGGTGTCTAAGTGTAAAACTGACCTGCCCAGGATCTGGGACATGCATCCGTTGAACACCTGCAGGATGCGGTTGATGTCGCAGGGCTACAGTCCAAGTGCAGGGAGAAGGATGTATGTCGACTGTCTAGATGTAGCCAGCAACTGACCTGCCGAGTATCTTGGATACGCTTCCGTTGGAAATCTGCTGTTTGCAGCTGATGCCGCAGGGCTACAGCCCGTGTGCAGGGAGCAGGATGTGTGTCGACTGTCGAGATGTACGCAGCAACTGATCTGCCGAGTATCTTGGACACGCATCCGTTGGACACCAACAGGATGCGGCTGATATCACAGTTCTACGCCCCGAGTGCAGGGAGCAAGATGTGTGTCGACTGTCGAGATGTACGCATCAACTGACCTGCCGAGTATCCTGGATAAACTTCCGTTGGACACCTGCTGGATGCGGCTGATGTCGCAGTCGCAAGGCTATACCTCAAGTGCAGGAAGCAAGATGTGGGTCAACTGTCGAGATGTACGCAGCAACTGACCTGCCGAGTATCCTGGATAAACTTCCGTTGGTCACCTGCTGGAAGCGGCTGATGTCGCAAGGCTATATCTCGAGTGCAGGAAGCAAGATGTGGGTCAACTGTCGAGATGTACGCAGCAACTGACCTGCCGAGTATCTTGGACACACATCCGTTGGACACTTGCAGGATGCGGCTGATATCACAAGGTCTCGCGCCAGAGTGGGCCAGCTCCACGATCTTCTGCCGCGTGGAGTCTGGCAGCGGCCTCCCATTGACGTAGACTCCTCCCAGCTGGTTGATGCCGCTGTGGCCAGCTGACGAACACCCAAATAAGGCGCCCCCGCCCATTGCTGCGCTGTGCATCAGCTCATCTGGCAACGAAGAATAGTCACTTATTTTTTTACCAGATTGGCAAAAGTTTAGTATTATTTATCTTGGTAGTTGTTTGTTCTTAAGGTAAGGGAATCGAGCGAGAGGGGAGCATATCAAGACCCATAACAAAAATGTAAACGGCCAGTTGCGATAACTATAGAAATATAGAAGGCTATGTACTGCCAATTCGCAACTATTGTTTCTAGAAAAGTTCTTTGGCTAAAGTAATATGTCGTCGTTGAGATGTGAAGTAATATTATGGTGATATAATTATAATTTAATGGGTAGAGATTTGTTATAAAGTATCTAGTAGTAAGTAAGTATTATTACTATGTACTTTAATGTGTCGGTCAAATAGAGTTAAGAGCTTTGACTATCTGGATACTAATCGAACGAGGGAAAGCTATCGTCGGAAGGGAGGATTGTCCCAATTGGGGTTGAGGTTATTTTTATTTAAGGTCTAGCGAAGTACTCTAAAGCACCTGAAAATAACTGAGAAAAGAAAACAAAAACGTTTTTGGTTAATTCATTGGTCTTATAATATTTCAAGTTTATCTGACTGACAGGCAAAGACGACCCTAAACAGTGAAGTTATTCATTTTTATTTGAATTCTAATTAATATTCTTAGTTCCTCCTTTCGACTATAATGCGGATCTTCTGATTGACAATTTTATACGAATCCTGTGTTGCCTGCCTTTGGAAATGGAATCAATGCATCTGCTATTAATTTTTTTCAAGTGTGCACAGAAATAGGTACTCCAAGATCCTTCACTAACTATTGTCTGCGAGATAATAATCTGTATACCATTGATTTTTAATAGCGGTCGCATCTTCTAAGCGTAAGTATTAAAAAATTTAACCCGTTTACAAAAATAATCCGCTTTGCAAAATAAAAAATGGGTTTCATAACAAAAAGGGTTTCGCGGTGCGCGCCAAGACCACAGACAACACTATGCAGTTAATCTGCAGGGATACAAAACTTTTTACTAAAAATAAAAAAAAAGTACAATAGACATGTGGCATTAGCAACTCACAAAAGAGAAACTTCAAAAAAGAGAAACTTAAATTTCGAATGCAGCAAAGAAGTTTAGACCGTAGCGTAGACATTTATGTTTCGCGTCTTTCCGTTGACACAGCACTCAATAAACACTTGCTTAGAGTCTCAAACAATAACGCTTACAAACTTAATGTTTCGTTTGTCGCTCTAATGAGAAGCTTTCCCCGAATTTGAAAGCTACAAATTGCTTTACCCACTTACGTAGGTGGCCTTTAATCGTACGCAAAATTACAGATGCTTTAAACCGGCAGTTGTCTGTGCCCAATTATAATCATTCGTTGTTTTCACGCCAATACTTCTGAATAGCGCATTAGATCAGATGTGCTCAACCGTTGGTCGGCGGATAATTCGCTTTTTATACACCCCTTGCAAACACGCTTGGCGGTAAAAAGTGAACAATTGGATGCAATTTGTGGGCGAATTTTGGGCAGGACCTTGATTAAGGCCTTAGGAGCGGGGGACAGAGTTCATTGTTTTGGCCCTATTTTGCGGTCGCTGTCCGCGTATAATTTTGATCGAGCGTGGCTTGAATGAAAATGGGTTTTCTTTTTTGTTTTTACTCACCAATTATAGTGACAGAAGGACAAAGAAGACAGCATTTCTTATGAATCCAAAAAACAAAAAAAAATATCAGCTAAGTACAATTAATTCGAGTATGCGAAAGAAAAAAAAGGAAATACGCCGGTTTAGATACTCGTCAGACGCCAATTAATTAGTGAATGCGCGTCGTGTAGATGAGTGGGGAATTTTTCGCGCCAAAACTCGTTGTTAGTCACACCTCTTCGGGTTCACCTTTGGCTGGGTGCTGCCCGTGCCCGCCTAACTAACAAGCGAGCGGCTGTTAAAAGAACAATGGACAATCGCTACGGAATTCCCCCCACTCCTCCCCGTGCGTGCGTGGTACAGGGCAGGAAAGGAAAGCGATTTTAAAATTTCGCTGACAATGGCCATTCATTATACCGATTAGTTTTAAAATTTACCAAATTCAATTAATTTTAAACAAAAAGTAGATGCTTTTCTAAATAAATCTCACCATTTTAGTAGATATAGTTAAATAAAATGGCAAAGGTAGCTATAGCTGTAGGAATACCTAAGCAAAAATTGATAAATGATCCTACTTTCTACTAAAATAAAAGTATCACATGACAGTTTTATACCTTATTATACCTAATATTTGTATACAAGACTATAATTATCTACACCCATGATGTGAATCCGCTATAAAAGGTTTTGAAACCATGGGGAGTTCCAAGAACTTAAAATTCAAGAAAACTTTCATTCATACGGATACCATGCATCGAACACTAAGAATTTGACTGTCTGATGAGTTAAGCCATTGCGCGGAAGGGATTGAAAAAGCAAAGGAGAGATATATATTATGATATTTTGCACAATCTCTTCAATAAAACCTACTTTGCTGTTCAAACTTTTAATTACTGTTATTGAAATACCAGTTTATAAAAGTACAATCATTTAATGTCCCCATACGGCCCTTTAAGTACCCATAACTTTTGCTGTGATTTAAATTGCTCGCGTCTCTCACTTGCACCACTGGCACTACAGTCGCGTCGCGTCGGTCGGTGCGAGCTCGGCGTGTCGCATGAGGGAGTGTTTTAATTTCAGAGGTGCAATTTATTCGAGCGATTTATTTTTAATCCCCGTTTTTATGGGCGACGCTATAAATTCTATGTGTACATGTATTTATGTATTTTATTTTTATAGTTTTGTGTACTATATTTAGTAGTTCCAAGCGTAATAGTTTAGAGGTGCTTTTTGCAATTTAATGTAGGTACTTGTTAATCCGTTCTCCTTTGTTGTGAGCTTAAGATCACTCTCGTTGAAGTTTATGGTTAGTTATATGTATTATAAAATCTTTGATATATACAGAACTTGAAATCAACTGATATATCAAATTAAGCCATAATCACTAATCATTGATTTTACAAAAAAGTGTATTGTTAATATTAAAAAGCTAATAAGAGTTTTGTTTAGTAGTTCACAAGATCAATAAATTAACATGGTAATATAATTCAGCTTCATAATAAGTAATTGGATAAATTGTTTATTTATTTATTTGCTATCATATACAAAAGTAATAAGATGTCACATATATTCTAGTTATAGTACATGGTGTTGCGTAAATTACAATACGATATTTTACTCACTAAAGTATCTTACCTAAATACGTATTGTGATTGTGAGAGTGACGGCTAAGATATAGGAAATATCAAACCTAAGTAAAACAAAAAAAGGAATCAAAAAAGGTTTTTCGTTCTAACACCTAAGTACCCTGTCAATATTAATCAACTACTTAGTAACACATAATGTACATAAGGGTCGTCCCTGCACATGACAGCACACCTGGCAGACACAGACGAACAGACAACCCCCACTAACATCCCTCTTATTATTATTATGTATCTGTTTTTGAATTACTTAAATCTATAGGGGAGATTTTGATTGTGACGGTAAACGCCATTTTGGATACGACAAATCCGGTTTGTGAGCTTCGGCGAAGTGAAAATACGATGCACTCGCAAACTTCGTTATGTGGAAATAAAAGCATATTCGGACATAGAAACGAAATTTAAATTAGAAATGCTCGGGCAGGTAAAATAAAAAGGTTTCATAATATGAAGTGCAACAACAGTTTTACATCCCTGGCTTTGAGTAATCACCAAGATTAATGAAATGAGCTTTTTATTTGGAGATAATTTTTACACAAATAAATATGATTACTTCAAAGTTTTTTATGGATTAAATAGGGAGATTAGGCCATGACCCACCACGCGGGCCCAGTGCGGATTGGCGGGTGCTAAAGACTGCAGATGCAGCCGAGACCAACGGCTTAACATGCCTTCCGAAGCACGAAGGAACTCGAGATAGAAGATTTTTGGTCACCCATCCAATGACCGACCATTGCGAAAGTTGCTTGACTTCAACGAACGCGCTTACCACATGCGCTATCGAGCTCCTCAGTCCAGTTCCTCAATACGGCCGTTAGTTTAACATAATTAAAAAACCATTGTATGAGAAAAAAAATTACGATCAAACGCATCAAAATATTCCAGAAATTATTGCCACTTAATTTTGAATCAAATCAATTGTCAAAAAATATACTACTCTGATGAATGAACAATATTTCTTTTTCAATAAAGCACCATTCACACATTCTGTTTGTTCGCCTGTTTGATATAATGATTGTGTTCGAAATAATTTATGTGTACGACCACGCCTCCAACGTACGGCACAAAAAATGACCATTCTCAAACAATGCGCGTGTAAAATTCTCTATGAGCGTTAATTTTACTGTGTATGACAAACTTTTTTTGCTTTTATTAATGTTACGGTTGGTAGAGGTTGGTTTGCTGAGATGCAGTAAAAATATCAAAGCTTTCAATAATCGTTATATTTAAAAGATAGAAAAGGGACGAGTAAAATAAAAAACGGAAAATCAGAGTACGATAATAATGTGGAAAACATGTATAAGCCCCTTGCGGCCATCATAAATCATCATCATCATCATCAGCCTATTAATATCCCTACTGCTGAGACACAGGCCATCTCTATGGGTGGAATAGAGAGATTGTGCCATAACCCACCACGCGGGTCCAAATCCCACCAACCACACATGGCCTGGCGAACCTTCTTGGTTATGCAGGCCGAAGCAGCGGGAGATACGCGCGGAATGGCCTCCACCGCGCGTACTTTCTTGACTCCCTACAAATTGTTCTTTATCTGTCTCCTTTGTCCCTATGGTAGCTCTCCCCTTTCTGGGGCGGACGCACACGATACGCCTTCGTCGCAATCCCAGCCGTCCCGTGCCCTCTATGCAGTGGTACCGCTAGCCTCCATTTCCTATTCCTCTGCTAATGCTCTTCTTTCTTCACCTCCCTCGAGTCCACTCCGAATGCTGTGCCATTTACGCGCGAAGTCCCGTA